AGACCCGCTCTGATACAAATTGTAGTGACATAAGAACATGGTTTGGCATGTGGAATTAAAGTTTGCACAATAAACATGGTGATTTGGGTGCTAAAAGATACATTCGATCATAGTAAATGAGTACAAAAAGGGATCTAATCTAGAACTTCATAAATATCTCACTTACTAATCACTATAAATTACATCTCTCAAGCACACCTCTACAAGTGGTATGAACCCACCTTATATAGATTTGTTTACATGTCTCTCCCTCACTCTCTAATACTCATCAGTCATAAGGCTAATGTGCCACATGCAAGTGGGTCTACAAAAGCCAAACCATCTACAAAGTCACACATGAATAACTTTACACCCCAACAATTTGCATTCGATCTTGTTGTAAACTCTGTTTTTGGAAGTTTTAAAAATCGATAAATGTGGTCTAAATATTTGATGTGTTATAAAAGATCTTGGTCCTTTGAAGTTTTTTCTTGGGATTGAGGTAGCCAAGATAAATGATGGTTTAGTTCTAAGTCAATGCAAATATATGTTGGACATTTTAAAGGATAGTGGAATGTTAGGTTGCAAACCAATTTCGTTTCCCATTGAACAAGGTTTGAACTTTAAAAAAAGGGAAAATGCAGCATGCATTGATGCAAATCTATATCGTCGATTGATTGGTCGACTTCTTTATCTTCAAGCCACTAGGCTAGATACAACGTATTCGGTAAATGTGTTAAGCCAGTTTGTAGCAGACCCACATCACAACCACATGGAGGCAACTTATCATCTCCTTCGATACTTAAAGGCAACGCCAGGACAAGACATTCTTCTTTCCCGTGAAGGAGCTCCTGTTTTGACGGCCTTTTGTGACTCCGACTAGCTAGGGTGCCCTTATATGAGATGGCCGTGAACTGGGTATTTTGTTCTACTAGGAGGATCTCCTATTTCTCGTTCTACAGTCAGTGAAATTATTTGGCTTCGTTGGTTACTCTGGGAATTTTAAATTCCCATTTCGTGTCCCAATCTTTATTTTGTGATAACGACGCAACCCTTCACATTACTAATAATCTGGTTTTTTACGAGCGAATCAAACATGTTGAGATGAATTGTTTCTTTGTTTGGGAATGAGTTGAGTGTAAAGAGATAATTCCCTTTCATATTGATAGCAATATGAAAGTTGCATACCTTCTAACTAAGGGGCTTGGAACAAACATCTTCATTTCTTACTTGACGAGATTGGCATTGCAAATTTGCATGCTCCATCTGGGGGGAGGGGGTATTGGATTCTATTGGATTCCATAATATATTTTATTTTTCTATGTTATCTTGTGGGTCTATCTCAGCTACACTTAGTTGATTTTATTTTTGGTACTGTGAGACTATTTATGCCCTTTGCTTTGTACGTTTTCTTTCATCAAGAAAATATACAAAAAAAAAACATTTTTCCTATTCCTCTAGAATTTTAGATTTATTTTATCCAATCAATAGGCACTAATTTCACCCCGCAGGTTAACATTAGGTTTAAGCACATGTATGGACTTCCTATAAGGACAATGTGACTCACCACCACCATATTAGGTTCCACGATTTGTTACTTTCTGTAACATCCCAAAATTTTCAACAATTTTAAACTTTTCAAAATGATCCTTTTACTAATAAAATGTTTACAAAATAGTGTTCTCAAAACATTATTTGAAAATCAGTGCCTCCCAAGATCAATGACATAAAATCAGGATGTGTACGGTCACACCTTCACCTTGCCATGAATCTTTGAAATACCTGAAACCAAAAACCAAAAACTGTAAGCACAAAGCTTAGTGAGTTTCTCCCAAAGTACCAACACACAACAGACAACATATACAACAAGCAACATGCCTATAGAGCCTTCAGCCTGTCTGGAACGCACCGGCCTACAAACTATCTTGACCGCTCACAAAACCTTTAGTATGGCTGGACCGCCTCACCGTGCCTTCAACTAAGGGATGAGTTATAAAACCGGAAAACCAGATCGGAACCAGAACTGGTATAACCGGAAAATGCTTAAACGGTCCGGGTATTGGGTTTCAAAATTACTATTATCCGAGTTCCAGGTATTTCGGTATGGATCCAATGGGTCCGATTAATCCAGGTTTTTGAACCGGTTTTGTTTAAAAAACCGGAACGAGGTTCAATGGACTGGGTCCGGGTTTAATGGGCCAAAGAACTGGTATAGGTTTAATGTAGAACCGGTATAGGAAACGGGTTTATTGTGGAACCGGAATACGACTCGTTTTCTTTTCCCATGTTGTACTTGGGCGACGACGAGTTAGTGTGGTTGCCAATAATAAATAATAACAATTTAGAATTTCCACATAGCTTAAATGAAAACACACAACCCAAAATAAATCAGGTTTTCCGGTTCTAATAGTAGATATGAATTATGAAGTATGAACGTACTATGAATCAACTATGACGTACAATAGATACTCTCAAGTCTCAAATTGATGGTGGATAACTTGATATAACCAACTTTGATATTACAATTAACTCATCCTTATGAACGTACACTACATATTACAATCGCATAACTACTCAAAGCTCATATTTCATAGTAATATTAAACAAACTTTGTTATATCACATTACTTTTTTTTAAATCAATGTCGTCTTTAAATATAATTTTTTGTTTATTAATTTTTTTATAAGGGTTGAAAGATTATGCGATTGAGGTAATTACAAAAAAAAAACAAAAACAAAAACAAAAACAAAAACAAAAACAAAAACAAAAACAAAAAAAAAAAACAAAACAAAACAAAACAAAAATCGGGTTTTCCGGTTCTAAACTCATTTTACCCGGTTCCATCTTACCCACTTTCCTATTTCTGGGGTTTTCGGTTCTAGACTCACTTTACCCGGAATCGGTTCCTATATACCGGTCCGGTTTTTAGTTCTAAAAAATCTAGTTAACCGGGTCCGGGTCAATCTGGTATGGGTTTGAACCCACTTTCATCCCTATTTCAGCCTATATGGGCCGTTCTCTGGGACTTCTGCCTGACTGGTACGCCCCACTGGCCTTCTGCCTATACGGGCCTCCCTGGTCTGTTGGCCTTTAACACTAAGCAAGATCGCTTCAGCCCAACCACACACACAAACCATGTCGACATATACATAACAGATAAGCATACATATAACATACCGATATAAATATTATCGGGTTTGCTAACTGGCAGCACAAAGCAATACAGTCTCAACCCAACCATACTACATCAACACATGCGTCATATAAACATATAGCCAGAACACATAACAGGAAGATCTAACAGATCACTAAGCATAACATCATTCTATCTACCAGGATACAAATCTAACAAATCACCATAATACTCAATCATACGATAAATCAGGATAACAATCCAAAGGGCCGACATTGGTTCCTTCGACCCATAAGTACAGTGAGGACAAGTCACCTCACAAGCAGCACAGATCTGACAAGGCCTGACTCCGAATCTCAGCTCTCTACTCAATGTCTACAACCACCAAGTGACCAATTTCCGTCAAAATACCCAAAGTACCTTTAAGGTCAAATTTAGCCAAAAGGTCAAGAGGTCAAGAAAAGCCAGCTCAGCTTGACTCCCACGTCGTGGTACCCTTATACTACGTAGTTGTGCTGGATACGACAAAACACTCACGAACCACCCGGCCACCACATCACGGTGGCCTTGCTACGTCGTGGTTACAGGGCTTTCGGTAGCTTACTGCATTCATCCAACCTAATTTCATTCCAAAAGGTCTCCAACTCAGATCTGGTCCAAAATAGGGTCTATATGGATAAAGTTTCCAACTTTATCCAATAGAACCCTCCAAATGCATGGATCTCGAAATTTAAAGTCTAAAACACTTCATGGATCCACCAATAATCGTCCAAACCATGGGGTTACTTGACCAAAAGCGATAAGAGAGTCTTTACCACCATAAAAGTCGGTGTTTTTCAGACATGCACGTCCAATGCAAGTCTTGAACTCTTATTAGGTCAAAATAGGGCAAAAGGCCAAGATTTCATGCATGACCTTCAAACTCAATTCTAGACTAGATCCAAAGAGTAAAATGCTCCAAATGGCCTGGAGACTCATAAAGTTGCAAGTTTTATGAAGTTCAACAACCCAAGGTAACAAGACCTAGAGAAAGAAAGGGAATAATTCATAGATCTACTCATAAACTAATCAAGATGAAGACTTTATACTTCCTTGAGATGCTAGAGGAAGGTGAACTCCTGGATCTTCTTTGCCGTGGGCTCCCAATGAGGTCTTCCACCACCTTTTCCTTCATAAGCACCAATAACTCACACTTTTAAGGCTAAAAATCACAAAATGGCTCTAAGGTTTGCAGGGGACGATTTTGAAAGATGGAGGTAGATGGGAAGAGGCTATAAGGGCTCGACCCTTAAATTTTAGGGTTTTCCCCAACTGCCACTACCACATCATGGCGCAATCACCACATCGTGGTGGTTCATTAAATCCCATGGTTCAAAGCTCATTGCCACGTCGTGGTGAGGCTTCACCAAGATGGGTTTCCAAAGAAGATTACCATACATACTCAAAAATAATATCATACATAGAACCGGATGTTACACTTTAACTACTCTAGGCCAGACTATTTGCTAATATGGTCACTACATCGATCATATTGGGCAACTAAATACTTGATTTACTCATCACACGATACTCCTTAGGAACAGGTGGTGTAACATATTTGGAATTGTCGGATAGCAACATTTCGGGGTTTTGACTAAATCTTATGTTACATTGATGTGTCTCAAGTCATTGGAATTCAGAAAATGAACACGTTATTTGGTTTAGTTAGACGGAAAATATCTCTAAAAGAGTTTTGACCATCAACACCACGAGAGTGTTGAAATCTAATGAAAACTTATTGATACGTTGATGTTTAAGTGGAGGTTTCATCATCTCACAAATAACAAGGTAAAAAGAGAAATACTCTTCCGCTTTTTAGCTACTATTTTTGTTGATTCTTTTTAAATTTCCTTCTTCTAGGTCATACTCCCCATTTATCATCACAAACCTATAGTAACATTGGGCTGATGGGCTGGAATTTTGACTAATGAGAATGAGAGTATTCCACTAAACACATTCAATTTCCAAACCCATGATCAGTTCGAAACTCAATTAGATTCCAGTTAGGCTAAATACCACTTTAGTTTACGTTAAAAGACTTTCCTCTTATAGTTATTATAAATAGTACTTGATTAAGAGGTCATCTAATATATATACACATGGATTAACAAAGAAGACATAGACGAAAAAAAAAATGAAAAAGAAAAACATAATTAGTAGGATGGAACGATGCCGTATGAGGAATCTGGGGAGATGAAGGTATCCTCAACTTCTAGATCGATTTCAGTTCGCTTGGCAAATCTTCCTTTAATTCTGGGTCTAGTTTCTGCGTATGCCTTCCTCGAAGCATATCGAATCGTTTTCTCAAACCTCCTGTTCTTCCTCTTTTCTTTGTATCTTAAAACCCTGGCTTCACGATCGAAACCCGACACAGGAGTCGGATATACTTCCGGTAACGATTGGTGGTGGTGGTGGTTGTTTGATACATCCGCCATGGCTGCGTTGTGGTCCGGTACGACGCCTACTTCGATTTCCAGTGAAGATGATGATACCTGATGAGTAAAGAGATGTCCGATATCCAGATTAGGTGATATAATGAAATTTAAGTTGTTATAAGGAATTATAAGTATTCGGATTTGGTTTGGATTGCACTTACGCTTTGGCTGACGGATTGAGAGGTGAAGTTGTACATGAAAGGCTTAGATCCGGTGTAATCGACGTCATATGCAGGTAATCCTTCGACTACATCTGGAGAAGAAGCATGTGCATGTGGTGGCATCTGGTAATTGCGATTTTCGATCTTGTTTTGCACCGGAACAACTCCATCGGTTGGGGAATTGTATCTGCGAATGATCTGATTAGGCTTTTGATCCGGCGTTTTCAGATCTATATCAAGGTAAGGATCGATCTCGTTAAACAAGTACTCCGATTTATTATCATCCTCAGATCCATCGACGATTTTGTTTAAATTTGGATCTGGGATAAGCCAGGAAGCAGCCTCCGCTTCTTCAGCTTCAGTTCCGGCTACGTTAACATCAAAATCCAATAGGAAATGGTGGTCGTTGTTATCATTATCATTATGATCACCTCCACCACCTACCTTCGACACGGCAGTTGCAGTATCATAAAATGGCACCACCGGAAACCGCTCGTGACGGCGGGCGAGGGGGTTTGCTGAATGGATATCGCGGTCACAGGTAACACAGAGGGTGGCAGCGTCCGCCTTACAGGTGAAACTCGCCGGAGCTCGCTCACACACATCACACATCCACACACGCGCGTGGCGAGACGCGAGCTTGTTCGCCGCGTGGACCTTGCCGTCGCATGGTATACAGAGGAAGGCGGAGTCTGCTCTACAGAACAAAGCGGCCGACGTCGTTTTGCAGGAATCACAAAGGGTCGCAGCCATGTTCCAGCTCTCTTTGCCCATGGAGTATATTTGATGGCTTTTGTTTAAGTGATTTTGGGTTTTGGTTCTTGCAGTGAAATCGCATTCTCTCTCCGATATCCTATAAAGCTATCCAAAAGGAGTAGAGGACGAATGATGGATTGACACGTGTCGGAATCTTACCCAAAATGGGTGGAGGGGCCTTTTCTAGTATAATTGAGTGAGGACCAAAGTTTGGATTCGGACAAAGTTCGCATTCCGATTCAAAAGATGTTATGTCTAATTGTTTTTGTAAGAGTATCAAATAATACTTACTATAGCTGTAAACGGAAAATATTAAAAGTTTATAAACAGCATGGTTATTAGCGGTGACTTCTTAAATCGGCAGATATGGATGGAACTTCCTTCACTTTTTTTTCTAGCAATACCACTATTTTTATTTTTCTTTCCGTCACCTAAAACCTAAGGAATTTGTGGGAAGAGTTTCTCTCATTTTATTATTTTAAATAAAATTAACTTTTTAATAATTTATAATTTTTAAATTAAAACTAAACATAAAATTTAATTAAAAGTAAAAATTATTTCATTAATTAAAATGAAATTACATTAAACCTAATATTTAAATAAGTAGAAAATTAAAATATAGGATCTATTTAAAGAATATAACATTTCCAAATTTCTTAGTTCATTGCTTTTTTTTTACTTGGGTGTTATATCCTCTGAAATACTTAGTTCATGTACGCTACGGTGTTATTTTGGAAAATTGGTACTTGGAAGGAAAATTGTTGTTAAAAGTGTCTTGAGCATTTAGAGCATTCGAGTTCAATGAAGCACTTTCAACTCAATGGAGCACTTGGATTCATGGAGTATGTAACAAAAGAATGAATCATCTGAGAAGGGAATGGATCATCTGACAAAGGAGCAAATTAAGTATCAAAGGAACAGATATTCTAAAAGGGGGTATGGAGCACCATGGTGCATGGATGCGTCATCCATGCCCAAGGTGCGCCGCTTTGAAGGATGGTGCGTGTGATATCCCTAATTTCTCGGCTAGAAAAAACCGATTTGTTTATGCTTTGCTTTATAAATCAGAGTAATAGTTTAAAAAAACGGTTGCGGAATTTGTTCCCAAAACAAAATATGATAAAAACTTATCAAAACATTTCTCAAAGAGAATGTATTTTCATTAAATAATAAAACCTCGGGATGTTATGTTCCGATACAGACACATAAGCATAAATAGAAAATACATTCATTTACTCTAGTGATTTACATCTCCTTTAATCTCTCAATGCAAAGCAGCTTCGTATTGATACCTATGATACAATTAAACTGAGTGGGTCAGGCTTTGGAGCCTGGTGAGCATATAGGGTTTTCAACCCACAATAATACATTTATTATATTCAATTATCAAACAATTAACCCAAATACTCATTCCCATTATCTCCTTTATTTCTTAAGGATTTACTCTAAGAATCAACTATCATTTATCCATTTATTCCTAAGGATTGACCTAAGGAATTGACACAAAGTCCACCACTGCCAAGGTCCACAAATTATGATTGGTAAACACTTAGTTCAACTTACTTAACAAACACCTAGTTCTAACACTCCTAGTGAACAATTAATTCAAAACATCTGGTGAATACTTAGTTCTAAAACACTTAGTGAACACACTCAGTTAAACAACACCAAGTGAACACATCTAGTTCAAAAATACTTAATGAACACATTGAGTCCAAAAATACCAAGTGAACACATAGAGTTCGGAAATACCTAATGAACACATTGATTTCAAACACCAAGTGAACACATAGAGTTCAAAAATACCTAATGAACACATTGAGTTCAAACACCAAGTGAACACATAGAGTTCAAAAATACCTAATGAACACATTGAGTTCAAACACCAAGTGAACACATAGAGTTCAAAAATACCTAATGGACACATTGAGTTCAAACACCAAGTGAACACATAGAGTTCAAAAATACCTAATGAACACATTGAGTTCAAAAATACTTATTATTTCATCTCACATCAACTATTTCATCTACCCATGTTCTACCCAACATATTTGTAGATGCAAACACATATACAATTTTAAATCTTTTAAAACATGTATAAAACATTATTTCAACATCTATCTCAATTAAACAAACAATGTATAAACACCTAGCACGTACTTCATAGCAAATACTTCATATCTATGCGGTAGAAGAAAGTGAATATACATTCACACATTTAACAACAAAATATACACATAGCACGTATTTCGTATAAAATACTTCGTATTTATGCGTTAGAAGAAAGTAACCACACACTCACTTGATCAGAAGATGATCGAATAGCACTACGACTTGTAGAAGTAGTATTCTTCGGTGAAACCGGGATCACTTCACACACCTAGTTTCTCGCGGGCAGAGCTTCGGCTCGGAAACTCTTTTCTTCTCGAGATCTTCGGGCCTCGGGTCTCGGGGTTGATACCGGGGCTTCGAGGGTACTTATTTCCACGTAAATCGAGGTAATATGGGTGAGAGATGAGAGAATGAGCAACCAAACTCGTCTGACCCTTCAAATCTATTTATAGGGCAAAATTGGCCCTTGCCACGTCGTGGCACCATTTGCCATGTCGTGGGCTTGGTCGTCACTCCATGCGTCATCTCAAGTTGCATCTAAGGGACTCCCGGAGGTGTCAGAAGACTTGCCACGACGTGGCACTGCTTGCCATGTCGTGGTATCTGACAGTTTTGGGGTTTCACGCCCCGAACTTCAGATTGTCATAACTTTTGCATACGAACTCTGTTTTCGACGTTCTTTGTATCGACGCGTAGGTGAGATTATACTCTACAACTCTCATTTAGACTCCATTGGATAATTTTGATTTTATGTTTAATATATTATAAGTATATTACTTATATATTATCTTTAGTAGGCCGGGACAGGAAAACTCCGTTCGAAATTCATAACTCCTTCACCTGAACTCTGTTTCTGTCTGTCTTTTTATCGTTGGACTACTATAGAAGAAATATTTGACTCTCGTTTAGATCACTAAGGATAGATATCTATCTACCTTAAATTCACTATTTACGTCGCGCTGGGTCACGCTGGGCCATGCCGGTTCTGTCGTGAAACTTCGACAGGTCATAACTTCTTCGTTATAACTTGGATTTTGGTGTTCTTTATATGCACGGAAACATTGTGAAATATACTACAACTTGGTTAAGATTAATCCTTCTAAATAATCTTCCATCTAAAAGTCATTTTTGATGCTTATAGTCTCTAATTTGACTAGACCGGATCTACGGGCGTTACAATTATCTCCCCTTTAGGATGATTACGTCCCGAAATCATCAACGAAATAGGGCTTGCATAATGATTCCACACGTTATCTCTTCATCCTAGGAAATAACTATAACTTCTATGTTTCCTCAAAAGAGTATTTAACTCTATGGCTTTATTGACCGCAGACGATGCTCAATCTTGCACCTGCTTATCGTACTATGTTGTACTTTCAATAATAACTTCCGAGTAACAAAATAATCCTTATTGAGGACTCCTTCTTCTTCATAGGATAAGTACTTTCATTCATCTATTGCAATAGATCGATGGGTCATGTTCTAATGACCTCTCATCGTATGATGCAACGCATAGACTCAAGTCTCTTAGAGTCAAATTCCAGAATGGAATATACCTTCCTTCATATTCTAATGTGATATAATCACATTTTTAACATGTAGCATGCCTAGCTACAAACTCCTTTTTTGTAACAAGTGCGATACTATCAATCACATTGATTTCAATCTTCTAACTTGAGTCAGATGCTACCTCGAACTTGGTTCTATGAACCACGTAATAAACTCCTCGTAGTCGGACTCAAAGTCATATGACCACTAGGGTCAGAATAACAACCATCTTACTAGTCACTACCGAAACAAGGATAATGACACACTTGAACAAAACGAAATCAGTTACTAGCTTCTTGGTAACCTTGTGACTTTCTTTGATCCAAGTGCGAGTCCTGTGCTTCCGGTAGTATATGCATCTACTACCTTTCACACCTACTCATACTCGTCCCAAGTATTGTCCCGCAGTCGACCAAGTCACCATATAAGAAAATCACAAAACAATTTAACATATACGAATGTGTCCAAATAATCATAAACAATTTCCCTAGACTCTACTAGGACTTCTTCATTGCTCAATGTTCAATCATCAACTCTACTTCAACTCGATTGGTGATGGAATTACCAGACGATAAGACAACTTCAAGAATTTCGTCAATCGTTCCATCATCCTGCCAATCGAAAGTGTACTTCAGACATACCGTACTCCTTTAAACGTACTGTTATTTCATAAGACATATTCTAAAGGCAAGATACCACTCTTACGATATCTTCTGATAGGTGTCATCCACTATCATAAGCCTTCTTCATTTCCTCCATTTGCGCAATTCTCCATAAGTCTTCACCATGACCTTTTGTACACCCAAGCAGGCGTTCGGTGTACCGACGAGAATTTAAGATAAGAAAGCTTCATTTACGATAAACGTATAAATGTCCTTATCCCTCCGAAACGTTTACATGCTAGTTCTAATATTGTAGTTATACGCTTAGAATCCTATACACATAAGGTTTCCAAATACGGTCGGCAACAGACCATAGATCCGAAAAAATAATAGCATCAATTTAGCTATCACACAAAACAATTAGCACATAAAAGCATTTTAGGCATCATTTCGAAAATAAACTAGTGCTTGTGTCAATTTGGGTGTACTACCTATCATATTTTAGACACACTCCTCACAATCATTACTTAACATTCTAAGTTTAAGTCTAGAAATTTCCTACAAATTCCTAGTTCGCTTAAACTAATGCTCTGATACCAACTGTGACATCCCCAATTTCTCGGCCAAAAAAGACCGATTTGTTTATGCTTTGTTTTATAAATCAGAGTAATCGTTTAAAGAAAACGGTTGCGGAATTTGTTCCCAAAACAAGATATGATAAAAACTTATCAAAACATTTCTCAAAGAGAATGTATTTTCATTAAATAATAAAACCTCGGGATCTCATGTTCCGATACAGACACATAAGCATAAACAGAACTTACATTCATTTACTCTAGTGATTTACATCTCCTTTAATCTCTCAGTGTAAAGCAACTTTGTATGGATACCTGTGATACAATTAAATTGAGTGAGTCAGGCTTGGGAGCCTGGTGAGCATATAGGGTTTTCAACCCACAATAATACATTTATTATATTCAATTATCAAACAATCAACCCAAATACTCATTCCCATTATCTCCTTTATTTCTTAAGGATTTACTCTAAGAATCAACTATCCTTTATCCATTTATTCCTAAGGATTGAC